TTCGAGTTTTTAGCTGTACACTGCTATACTGAAACTTAGAAAAATCATAACTTCCTTATACGAAGTCAGATTTTTTCGTTCTTTTTATGAAAGTTCTCGGTTTAACATAAACTACAACTTTCATTTAGATTGTAAAGGCTAAAAAGCCTTTTATCGAAAATTCAGTTTTTACACTGAACAGTGTTTTGTTGGTTTTGTCGCGGATTTTCGATTAGTCATAACTTCTTCGTTATAACTCGAATTTTAGTGTTCTTTATGTTTTTGGAAACCTTGTTACAATCTCTATCACTTGGTTCATCCCAATCGAGATTGCTAAATAATTTATTTTTGAGGGTCAATTATGTAAATATGCACATTATGCTAAAATTTCTCTTTATTATTATAAAAAGAACTACACATTGACCTAAACTATTACATAGGTTTGAAATTACGATTTGTTACAGGGTACCATCAGATGAGGGTCAGAGATGATGATGTACAGAAGACAGCCTGCGGGACTCGATATGACCATTACGAGTTCGTGGTGATGCCATTTGGGCTCACTAATGCACCAACAACGTTCATGGATCTCATGAACCGAGATTACAAGCCGATGCTGGATCGGTCTGTGATTGTATTCATCGATGATATACGGGTCTACTCCAATACCAAGGAGCAGCATGAGGATCATTTGCGGATGGTTCTGGAGACCCTGAGGAGGGAGAGGCTTTATGCCAAGTTATCCAAGTGTGAGTTCTGGCTGCAGGAGGTGCAATATTTGGGGCACATCATCAACCAGAAGGGTATATTGGTCGACCCGACCAAGATCGATGACGTAATGCGGTGGGAGGTTCCGAGGACCGCATCTGAGATTCGGAGTTTCTTAGGTATTGCAGGATACTATCGGAGATTTATCCAAAATTTCTCCAAGATTGCAATGCCTTTGACCCGTTTGACAAAGAAGAAATGTGACCTTTCGGTGGGGGCCTGATCAGCAGTTGGATTTTGAGACTCTGAGGAAGAGATTGTGTGAGGCCTCGATTCTCGCACTCCCTAAGGGTTTGGATGATTTTGTGGTTTATTGTGACGCCTCCATTTCGGGTTTGGGAGCGGTTGTTATGTAGAGGGGTCACATGATTGCTTACGCTTCGAGACAGCTGAAGCCTCATGAGGCGAACTACCCTACGCATGATTTGGAGTTGGGGGGCCATGGTTTTTGCCCTCAAGATTTGGAGACACTATTTGTATGGGGTTCAGTGTCCATGACGCGAATTTATTATAAAAGGTTTTATTTACATTAGACACATAATCCTTATCATCACTCTAAAAAGTTATACGCCAGTTCTAATACATTAATTATACATTTAGAATCCTTAACACATAAAATTTCCAAATCAAGGTCGGCAACATACATTAAATCTAGTCAAGTAATAGCACTTTAGGTAGGAAACTTAAGGCATTCTATAATATAAATCATTTAGCACATAACATAAAATTAGGCATCTTATTCTAAAGTAAGCTAGTGTTAATGTCAATTCATGTATACTACCTAAAATATATTAGGCACACACCTCACAATCATTGTATATCATTCTAAGTTTAAGTCTATAAATCCTTATAATTCCTAGTTTGCTTAAACTAATGCGTTGATACCAACTGTAGCATCCTCATTTTCACGGCCAATTTAAAACTTTTTCTTTATGCTTATTTAATTCAGAGTATTACTTTTTATTGCAGAATTTGTTCCAAAACATTATTTCAATATGAGATAATAAAGCATTTCCGAAGAAATGATTTTCGTTAATATTGAAAACCTTGGGATTTCATCATCAATACAGACAACATAAGAATAAGTTATTTATACATGCCTTATGACATTTATTCATACTAATGGCCTACATACTCCTAAAATCTCTCATCATGCATGTGCTTTCGTACCGTTATATGTGATACAAAGAAACTGAGTAGGTCAGGCTTGAGAGTGTGGTGAGCACATAGGGTTTTCAACCCATAATAATTAAGTTCTTTAATTATATGTTTCACATCAAATAATTTCACCTGATTACCATGTTCCCGTTATTCTTACTTCCTGATCCTAAAATTCTGATCTCATGGGACCTATCCTAAGGATCATCGTAAGTAACGAATAGACAATATCGCTTTGGGAATTCTTTTACAAATATATGTCAACAAGGCAACCATAGGGGGAGGATAGAGTATATCAAATGAACAAATGGTTCATTAACACCTACATGTTGCGAGCCTACCAGCGTTCCACTAGATTGTCTAGAAAAGTCTGTGGTAGTCATTTATACTCTGCTAGATGATTGGTTCATCAATAAGCTAGTACTATAGCAGTCATGACCTCTCATCATCATTTCATCTTTCATCAATCATCACTACCCATAATATTCTATATATAAAAATACATATGCGATTAAATCAAGTAAAAATCATAATATTTCATCTAACACAGATATCCAGAAATCCATATAATAAACACATATATCATTTAATCATCTAGATACTTATATCTATGTGTAAGATGAAAGTAGATATGCATTCACTTGCTAAATTTGATAACTCGAAATTTGGGTAGCGCTTCGCCTATCACTTTAGCTTTTTCCTTTGATGTGACATAGGTATACATATTACTAAGTCTTAGTCTTATATTCATTATAATTAATGATAGTCTAGATTCCTCAATAATCTCAATGTCTACTGATCTATAGCTGATAATGAGCAATCAGGTAAGATCATATCGAAGGTAGGGTGCATTTGGTATGCATAGTATACTGTTTGGAAATCCCACTATAAACACCTCACTAAATCTAGCTTAGACATCACCCCCGTAAGTAGATCAATCAGTATTTTGATATGGAATCATTGATTAATCTTATTTATAGATTCATAATAATGAATATGAATATAAATATCAGTCACACTTGAATTAAGATAAGTGCAACTTAACTTACAAAGATTTTTCCGATGAAAAGTCGGAAATTGCATTGGCAGAACTCCGATCCGAGAGCTTCTAATTGTTGGGCCTAGATACCCAGAGATTTGCTAAGCTAAGAAACTTCGAATCCTTGAAGAAAGACCTTAAAAACAGGGCATAAGAAGGAGATTTTCCAGAGAGAGGTTTGGAAAAGGTGTGAGGAGGAAATGATGCCGAATAGGGTTTATATAGGCGTATTTTTGATTGGCGCGCCACGCCCTGGCCTGGTCGGCCTCCTTCCTTGCGACATGTGGCACGTTCTAACGAGTCCTACGTCAGTGACTTCTAGAAGCTCCGGCGCGTTGCGCCCAACGCCATAAGCGCACGAACTTTTCAGATTTTCAAAAATTCATATCTTCCTCATACAAGTTCCGTTTTCGACGATCTTTATATCCACACGTAGCTATCGACAAGTACTATAATTTTCATTTAGATTACTTAAGCTAATAGGCAACCCATCTCCGATTCACTATTTACGACGCACTTTTCCATATCGGGTTGAACACAAAACTTCAAAGGATCATAACTTCTTCATACGAAGACAGATTTGAACGTTTTTTTTTATATGTACATAATCACCATCACGATCACTTCAACTTTTATTTAGATTATTTTTCATAAATAATATTTTATTTTGACGCTTATTTTAGCTCTAATAGTTATGCTATTTTATAAACTTATATATATATATATATATATATATATATTATATATATATATATATATATATATATACACACACACACACATAAATCACATATACTCAAATGATTATCTTTTATTATTCATAAAAAGGTTACAATTGTTGACCGTCGTCAATCAGATATTTATTAATGCCTAGTGAGAAACGTAGACGTTACAACATTGTATAGGGGTGATCGAGACTGCAAATGATCCAACCCTAGAGGCTTGAGTGTGTTTAAATAGCCCCAAAACCCTAAAAACACAATTAGCCCACTAGGCCGGAAGCACACCACCCTTTTTAAGAGGAGTTATGTGCTTCTTGCGAATAATTCATGATTTTTAGATTTTCAGCAAATGCGATAAATGGCTTCCTGCTTTGCCCCATCCTTCTACTTTCTTATGGACTACAAAACCCTCAATTTAAGAGTGGAAAAACACCATCAGAAATAGGATGTTACAAAAACAAAGATCTGTTGGTAACTCATGCTGTACCCACGATCCGACCAATTCTTGAATTCTCCCTGACCACGAAGGACTCCGATGGATCCATGAGAAACGCAACGAGAAAACTTCCTAGCCACAAACACTTCAATGGACCTGGCCCAAAACCTCGCATACTCGAACCATATATTCTTTTGACTCATTGTACTGAAACCACAAAAATGGAACAGACTGATGACCCTCCAATCAGAATACCCAGTTCCCCCACTTAGGGTTCGAACAACCACCAATTAACGTCTGCAAACAATTAGTTAACTTTATAAGCATTTATTAGATACAAATGTTTATTAGCTTATGTGATGACCAAATTGAGCTTTTTAAAAAAATGTTTAAATTAGCTTATGGTGTCAAAAAACTATAAGCTAACAATTTTTTTAAAAGTATTTGAATTAACTTACATGGTGATAAAAAACTATAAGTTGATAAATTCTTTATTTAACAAATGTTTTTGGTTTAACTTATACGATGACAAAATGCTATAAATTGGTAAAGTTATAAAAAAGTGGTTAAATTAGTTTATATATATAAAATGCCAAAATAGCCATGTTTATATATTTAACTAATTAGTATTTTCACATATAATATTTTATATAATAATATTAAATTATAAATAAGCTATAAAGGTTAGATTTTAATGCGGGTATTATAGTATTTTTATATATTTATAAATAAATGAACCGTAAAAAATAACTTTTTAAAATGATAAATTTTTTTTAAAAGTGTTTATCAGCTTTATAAATACTTTTTTTAAGTCTTTGTTTTTTAAAAAACTAACAACTCAATAACCAATTATCAGACTTAATCCAAAATACCTATGTATATCGATTTGTTTATGTGGAGATTGTCATCTAAAGGTAATCAGAAAGGGCAGAGCTCCCGTTTCATCCGCTTTCAAAATTTATATGAAAATACTGCCTAATCGAAAGAGAACAAACCCCACCCCAAAACTTATTCGAAAATTCGTTTCTTCTGCATTCAAAATCAGTCAAAAATTTCACATCATATCAAGACATTGAAGACCATTAGTAAGTGTATCTACCCAGTACCCACCCAATCGCCTCAAAACCCTTTTGCATTTCTTCTTCTAGGATCTCCTGCTCTTCACCCACTTCTCTTCCTAACTGCATCGCTTTCTCTCCCGATTTGGATTCACCCCTGTTTGGGGAAACAAATTCAGGTTATTAATTACAAACCCTTTTATCGACCTTTCGCCAGATTATCTATTTGATCTGCTAATTTCTTAAATGAATTGTAATTCTCGGATCAATTGATTCTCTATTTCTAGGTCTAATTTTGACCATTCTGCATGTGTACAGTCTAACCCTTGTGACATCTCGTTGAATTGAGTACTTCAAGTCTGAACATTGTATGCATTTTCTGTTACTCTATGAATCAGATAGTTATAGTTTGTTTTCAAGCTTTACTTTTATATCGGTATCCAAGTATTCTTCATTTTTGTATTCAATACCTTAGACACCGCACTTATCGTACATCTGCTTCCAAATCGAAGCCCGTAGATGTTTGGATAGATCTTTATCATTGATGCAAATATATTTTCTTAATATTCAAGTTTTGATTTTTACACTTGTAACACTGAAGTATATTACAGTTTTCAATAATCTCTAAATTGATCCCGATTTCTTATGCTTCCTAGGTTCAAATTGACGAACCATTTGTATGAAGTTATTTCTGCCAAGTTTCTAGCTTTCTGATGAACGTGAAGGTAGATGATGGATATCAGATTGCTATATTGAAATACTAGATTCATCTTGTTAGCTGGCAATGAGCAGGTCACCTTCATTTACAGCCAGGACAGAATCCAATGCATTTGTGGATCCAGAATCCGTACAAAAATGGATTGTTGCATTTTGCATAATTAGATTCGATCTTGAACAAGGTCAACTCATTGAAGAATGTTATCCACCTGGTTGTCTTACCCCTGAAGAAGAACTCGACATTGCTTTCAGTTCATTCCCTGATTCAGTATCCCAACACCATAACCGATCAAGCATCCATGATTCCATGTTCTTCTTCAGAACACAAAGGCGAGGGAATTTTCCAGGTGAAAAGACACATAAAAAGCCGAATGAATCTCGATCCAAATACTTATACGGTTTTGTATTCAATAGACAAAGACACGATGAGAGACTGAAACGAGGTGGCGAACAGAAATCAGTGGTGATTCTGTCACGAAGTCCATATTCCAGTTTATTTAAACCTTTATTACAAATCATGGGTCCTTTGTATTTTGATGTTGGAAGGAAAGCCATTGATTATATTGCTGGTTCTATGTCAACATGGTCTTCACCATTACCCGGTCAACTCATGGAGCTTCCTATAGGAAACGCAACACTTAAAGTCAACCTGCCACCTGTCCATAGCTTGTCATTCGATGGTGAGGTGGCATTTGAAGAGTCTGCTTCCTCCATGGCCCCACTTCTTCCTACAAATCAATCAATCCCACATGGCCTCTTTCACGATTCAGATGTATTCGGGATTTTTCGTGGGCTTTTACTACAACTTTGGTTATTATGGGAACTGTTATTAATTGGTGAGCCTATATTGATTATAGCACCAACACCCCCACAGTGCTGTGAAGCTGTTGCTAGTTTAATAAGTCTAGCTGCCCCACTTTTCATCAGTGTTGACTTTCGCCCGTATTTCACTATCCACGACCCGTATTTTGCCCGTTTGAATTCCCTTCAAGAAGGCGAAACTTTCCCTCCAATTCTTTTAGGGGTCACGAATCTTTTCTTCTTGAAATCTCTTCGTAATGTACCTCACATTGTCTCTGTTGGAAGCCCGGCTCCGAATTCGGGCAGGGTCGGTTTTTCTTCACGGGCATCCACGGGCAGGCTTTCGGGCAGGCCGGAAGGGTTTAACTTTCCAAATCTGAAGAAGTTTTCTCCTTCGAATTTATTAAGTGCTGTGAAGTTAAGGAGAGATGGGCCACTTTGTCTTATGACAGAACACAAGGAAGCTATCTGGAGTAGTTACATGCCAATTACTAAACCAGACACATCTATTTTGAATAGGCTTGTTGATGCTGGATTGTCTCCAAGGGTAGAAGAGTCAATGTCGGTTGTTAATAATGAGATACTTCGTCGCCATTTCTTGGAGCTTACTACAAATTTTTTAGCTCCATTTGGCCCTTATTTTAGAGTTAATACGCCTTCTGTGGGGTCATCTCCTTTTCTTGATCCACCTCCTTTAACTGCTTTTGATGGTGATGAATTTCTTGCAAGCTTATCCACTAGAGGTCCTGGGAAGTTTTTATCCAAGAGGATGAGGTCTAATTGGCTAGATCTCTACAGGTATATTTGATATTTTTATTCTGTAGCATAATTGATATCCCATGAAATATGTTGATGTGTTGGAACATTTTATATAAAAGTTTGATGTGTACTTTTGAAGGCGATTCATGAAAGGGCATAACTTTAAACCATGGTTTCAAAGAAAGCGAGCTGTAGCTGAACAAGAACAACATAGATTATGGAGGCAAGCAAGAATGCATGCTGACATCCGAGAATTCATTTCCAGATCATCTGAATTGGAAATTGTTGAGAAATTCCATGCAATCGAAAGGCATCTTCTTTTTGAAATGCAGGCATGCATCATATCTTTGTCTTGTTGACTTGAGGCTATTTTTTTTTTAGGTATGAGTTTATATAAACGAAGTTAATTTCTGTGCAGCAATCTGAAAAGTCGGTTGATAATTCAGAAGCAACATGGCATAAACTTAAAGGAGATTTGCAGGTGGTTTTCAATGTCCTTCCTAAAGACATGCAACATCTCCTCCTTATGAACCCAGAAAGAGCAACCCTTTTACAATGACACTTGTCTTTCACTTTCACCATTGCTACCTGTATCTGTATGCTTTACAACTTCAACACATCATCTTTATTCTAGGTCAGTTGCTTGCTATACCTGTCACCAACAACTTTCATTTTATATGGTGTTAAGATAATTCACAAGTTATTGATTTTCATTCCTTGATGGAATTGATAAATCAACTTTTTTTGCATATAGTATGCAGTTTATTTAGCAATACATCTTATTTCTATGAAAAAAAACATTTTTTTGTTTCTTTATATAAATTTAATTTCATTTAGTATTTTAAGTGTACATAACAAACAGCATGTTTAAATTTTCAAGCAAACCAAACATGATAATGGAATGTAATGATAAGCCCTAACTTTGGGCATGTGGTGTTACAAATAACTTTGAACATTGTTTTAAGTTGATTCAGAACTTACATACAGACATATATATATATATATATATATATATATATATATATATATATATATATATATATATATATATATATATATATATCTCAGATAACTGAAGGCATAATCAACACAGCTAATTGGCGAATGTGAACCATCTTTTTTGGGTATTATAAGATAAGGCAACATGTATTATTATGTAATAGTTATTGCGATATGAGATGCATATCTAACGAATTTGTGTTCTAGAATCAGATAATGGTATATTCTTTAAACCATGTTCATTACTTATTTTTATTTTAGGAATTAGGATATTGGTTTTCTCATGTTTTAACTCGGACAGTCCCTATTATTTGGTTTTATTGCGTTGTTGGTCCCTGACAAATGTAAATTTACTTTTATACCCTTTAAAATTTTTTAAACTATCTAAATTATTTATTTTAAATTTTAAGTATTATAATAAAATTAAATGAAATATCAAATCTCACCACATCCCTTTTTTATCCCAAACCCTCATTTTAACGTCATCGTTGTTTTCTCCAAACCCTATTCTCCGATTGCAGCATCTGCCATATCTCCGGTAAGACACCCCAACCCATCGGCAAGTAAGTGAGCTTTCTTCCCTCTCATCCTTCTTATCTGTTAGAGAACCCCATTTGAAAACCTCTCTCCACCACAACTACCCTGTCGGAGGTTAAAAGAAAACAAAATTTGCAGGTTTGATGAAGACACAGATTTTACGAGAGACGAGAGGTGAAGCGTTGTAGAGATGAGAGGAGAAGTGTGGTTGTCTAACAGATCTTCACTGATTAATTCCGATTAGGGTTTGCGGTGGGAACGAGAGTCGGCTAGTGTTCATGGTCACCGACATCGGGTTGCTCCAGCTTCACTCCTCTCCTCTTGTGTTTTCCCCTCATCTACCAAGGAAACCAGATACATAAAATGAGTTATGTTTAATGGTTGATTGTGGATATAACAAATTTGGAAGAACAACTAGTTTTGTGAATTTTATTAGATTTAGGATGATTGTGATTTGGAACTGATGATAATACAGAGGTTTGTTCTCAAGAACCCTAAGTAATCAACCCCAAAATCACGTTTCTATGTTATTTTTCTGGATTTTATGGCACCACGTTTGAAATCAGAGAAGAAAGTGGTGGTGTAGATTCGGCCGGTGGCGATCCGAGTTGATGAAACGAATGTGGGTTTCATCGGAGAAGAAGGTTGTTACATGTAGATGAGGATCTTCGACTGAAATGAAAAAAAAGGGAACGAAATCAGACACCCAGTATGAATAGGGTAAAGGGGTTGGGCCTTATTAATTTTTAATATATTAAATAATAAACAAGCAATAAAATATTTAAAAAGAAAATTAATAAGGGTATAAATGTCATTTCAGGTGTGGTAAGGACTAAATCCGAAATAAAAACAAATAATAGGGACCATCCGAGTTAAAAAAAGTTAAACAAATAATAGGGACCATCCGAGTTAAAAAAAGTTCTTAGGGACCATCTGTGCAGATTACTACAAACCACAGGGACCATTCATGTAATTTACCCTTGTTTTTAATTCCATTGAAAATCTTACTTTCTATTCTGAGTGAGTACAACAAAAAAATTTAACTATGTGATAATAATTCTTTTTATTTTGTATTTGGCTAAATGCATGAAATACTTTCTATTTTGATGATTATTGAAGTTGTTTTGATGATTATTGAAGTTGTTTTAATATACTTTCTGCTATGTTTTTTGTTATGTAGTATATATATTCCAGCAACATTGTTCCAAAAAAATCATCTCATGATTTGCAACCTGAAAATGGAAACTTCTATAAGGTTGTATTTTCTTTGTTTTGTGGGATGTATTTTTCTAAGATTTTACCCTGAATGTAAGGAAACTTAAAGCTAACCTAATTCCCCTCAAAAAAAATTACAAAAAATGTTACATGGTTATTGCATAATATATAGAGAACAAATCTCTCAATTGCAATAGACCCAACACTTGACTTTTTTTTTTTTTTTTTTTTTTTTTTTTTTTTTTTTTGGTTCCTTTACATGGTTATTTTATTTACTTTTATTAGTTGGATTTATACTCCACAAATAGATATTGTTACACCTTTACCTAAACAAATAAGAACTATCTATCTCAATTCCGAAAAAGATTTAATGTTTAGTTTAATACATAATTGAGTAAAAATAGTAAATTACTTATCAAAATATCTTAACGCAAACAACACTAATTATATACTTCATATAAAATTCTTTAAGGGGGTGTGTGAGTTGGCATTACGAACTAATTATCTTATTATATTGTTTTTAAAAGAAGGTCCACTTTCAGTGCACTGATAAAAAAAAACTTCATTACCCTTGTGAAAAATTTGACTTTCAATGCATTTGAGAAAAAAAAATCGTTGAAGTTGGCTCATTTTCTTTGTGTTTTTGGGTAGAGTGCCAGCGGCGGCCAAATTATTCTTTGTAAAATGTAAAGAAATGATAGACGAAACTTTTTTTATACACACAAAATTAGTACTTTTTTTATATAGTTTTATAAAAAAAATAGATATGTAAAAAAATGAGTTCTTACAACCTTAAATGCATAAAAACGAATAAGTATAAAAAAGTTAGAAAACCGATCTATAAAAACAAATTAACAAAAAACATTAATTTTTGAAAACGGAAAAATATTGAAAAATATACATAAAAAATAAATAAAAGGACATAGTGGAACAAGCATAAAAAAGTTATATAATTATAAAAAAAATGTACAAAAAAAAGTTCCGTTTACTAAATTTGAAATTAATCTATTGATTAAATATAGAAATCGTCAGAAACCAGAGTATCTTTTAATTAACTGTCATAAATGCTACATTTTAAATATTTTATATAAACTTACTGATATACAATAAAAAAGTAAATAAAAATAAACAGAAATACAATTGATTACCTCATAACTCTATCTTCTAAAAAAAATATCTAAACCAGATTTTCTAAAAAATGTAGGAAGAAAAGACAAAAGGATAAAGAGAAAGAAAACGACAAAAAAAGGTATTAAAACTTCACTATGAGGTCTAACACTGAATAAAAAAAGGAAAAGTAAAAGAAAAAAAAAAGAAAAGGAAAAAGGAAAACCTTAAAGTGGAAAGAGAGAGAGAGGGTCAAATACAACGTACTCGCCACAAAAATCCAAACCTCTCTTTAACTTCTCCCCTTAACCAATAGCATCACTTTGTTCCCATACTATTTTTATGTATAACATTTTCACCCCTTCATTCATACTCTTTTGTCCCTTTACACCCCTTCTTTCCGTTTTGTAGCCCGATATTTGTTCATTTCGCCCTTACACTATTCCAAAATGATTTTTTAACTCCTTCATTAATCATTATAATATAAGAAAATATATGCATCTTCATGTTCATATTAAGATAAGTCTAGAATCCGGATATATTTGAATAAAACATCTTAGCATGTCATTTGTACAGTGGATTATTCATAGAAAAATCTCTTTTTATCAATATTCAATAATTGAACTATTATTTAACTTTGAGTCATTAAAACTTTGATGAAATGTATTGTACAAGTTTTAAAATGGGATTTGCAAAAAAGGTTTTCCCACGAGTCTCCTTATGATAGTGTTTAATAATTATATACATATGAAAATTAGGCCAGTTTTATAAAGAGTTTGATTGAATTATTTACCAAATGCATTTGCTTTTGGTGATAACGATATGTTGTTTTGTTTTTCATGATTTAACATTAAAATGGCAACATGGGCCGGTGAAGTGATGTCTCAAAGTGTTTTGGACAATATAGATCGATCATGTTGGGCTGACTCGCCAACACTTTTCTATATAAAAAGTTTATGTATTATTTTTCATTATTATTAAAATAATATACATTTTTTTTCGAAAAAAAATACTTTATGAGGTTGAAAACAGTTAAATTTAACCTGTCGGGTCATTTCATTTTTAAGTGAGCTTTGTAATTTCGATTTTGTTATATGCAGAAGATGAAGAAAGTATAAATACACTTTCATGTAAATGGGTTGTAAACTTGTACACCATGGAAAATCTGAATTTTGAATTTTGAAAATTTAATAAATCAATAATTTTTTAATTTAGATAAGAAAAAACATGAATGTCACAAGTTTACACAATATATTCTTTTTACGATGAAGGAATAATAAGCAAAAGAAAAAAAAAGTACAAGTTGTTTTGTAGTAGAATTAAAAATTTCCTTTTGTCAAAATGCAGGGACTAAAACAATACAATTTTAAGTAGTGTAGGGGTCAATCACATACTATGACTATTTTAATATCACATGAAAATGGTGAAGTGAGAAAAGGGAGATGTGGATGAGAAAGAACCAAAAGCCAATTAAGGCATACAGACACAGAAACCCCCAATTGGTGATGTGATTATTCCATCTCGGAAATCTCAACAAATCAACCGACTTTCGAGAGTTTTTATTACCAGTAGTGATCAATTTCTGGTGACGGATCGTTCGACGGCCGTTTTTTTGTCGTTGTTGCTATTGATAATTACCTTACCGATGGTAATCACCGGACACGACGACGGTACAGGTTCATCGGAGTACGATTACATTAGGAGACACCATAAGCATGAGGTTAGAGACAACCAGTGCACTTCATCTCTCGTTAAACACATCAAAGCGCCTGTTCACCTTGTAAGATCTCAAATCTATTATATATATAATGACTTTTTTCCTTTGATACTTTAATTTAGTTTGTTATTGTTTCGTGGATCTGAGCTAAAGATTTCAGTACTTTTTAGTAATCTGAATGCATGCGTGAAAAGATGGAGTATTCTAATTGGAAACTGTATTTTCTGTTCGTGGTTTAATTGCTGATTAGTGATTACAATTCGTTTACTCGTTAATTAGTTGTCTATGGATGCAATCAAAGTGTGTGTTGTAGCTTTTAAGATATGTTTCTTGAATTCCTCAAGCAATTCTGGACATGCTTTACTTTTCTCCGTCGTATTCGAACAGCATGTATACGCCTGTCGCATTAATTGAGATTTTTTTTTTTGCATTTATTAATTAGACAATGAAATTTCTAGACTTGTGTCTGTGTGGTTGCTTACTTCCTCAAAGAAATAAAATCCTTATAAAGCTTAAAGCAACGCTTACTATATGTGTTTGGTAGGAAATACTATTGCTTTCTGTGTATGACAACCAATCCGATTGCTTTCATTTCAACACTTGTAATGGTTTAATGCATTGATTTTCCCCTTGGATTATCATATTTACTCCTTTAAGTGCTGATTTTTAAGCAACTCTAATTCACCATGAAAATGCATTAGACACTTGTATTGTACAATCGATGGATGATGCATTTTTATAGTTCTGGCTGTTTCTATGTTAAAAAAAAAACCAAAAAACTGGCCGGAATATGCCAAAATCATTTTGGAATCCAAAGGCAGCAGCATACACAAGACAGGACAAAAAATTCTGGAGGTGCATCAGTGGCAATAAAGTTACTCATATCTGGTCCCCCTCCTGGTCTCTAAAAGACAGAGAGCGACATATCAAAAATGGGCATTCAATTTTTATGTTTCTAAATATCAATCATAAAGAAGCTTACTAGGTATAGTAATAGTAGTATCTAGCATTCTACTCTTCCACTTCCCAAATCTTAACATACTTACACATCTTAATGAATACACATATCGGTTTACACTTATTATTGCAAAAGTTTATTATAATAATATTAACCAAAACAACTATATATATATATATGTATATATATATATATATCTACTTTTTTGTAAGGTATGGTCTTTGGTTCGGAGGTTTGACCAACCACAGAAATACAAACCGTTTGTTAGTGGATGCAATGTGCAAGGTGAGCTTGAAATTGGAAGTGTGAGAGAAGTGAATGTCCGATCTGGACTTCCTGCAACCACAAGTATGGAAAGGTTGGAGCTTCTGAATGAAGAAGAGCATATCTTGGGGATGAGAATAGTTGGTGGTGATCACAGGCTTCGGGTAATATAAAGCTTTCTTTTATATAAATATATTAATATACTGTAATTTGGTTTGATGTATCATTATAATTAAAAAAAAATTGTACAGAACTACTCGTCAATCATTACACTTCATCCGGAGATTATAGAGGGGAGGCCAGGGACATTGGTGATTGAGTCATTTGTGGTGGACGTGCCAGATGGCAACACGAAAGATGAGACATGTTACTTTGTGGAGGCTTTGATCAAATGCAACCTTAAGTCATTGGCTGATGTGTCAGAACGGTTGGCTGTGCAAGACCGAACAGAGTCCATAGTTGGAGCATGATGAATGAATGAGAGATGGGAGCCGAGGTTAGTAGTTGACATCTTCATCTTCATCTTCATCTTCTTTGTGCATATAGCATTAGACTTTGTTCCTAAGTGGATTAAAAAAAAAAAAAAAAAAAAAAAAAAAAAAAAAAAAAACTATGACGATTGTGTTTCGTAAAAATCTTATTCCTCTTTGTGAACTATATGTTTGAATCTCATTCTCTAAATCTCTTTAGTCTTTGTCTTCCTCCCTCACCCTGTTGTGAATATGAATAAGTAGAATAGGAAATTTTGCAAATCCCCTTTTTGTAAAGAATGTTAATGAAATGTAGTGGTATTATCATATGTCATATATAATAAATGGCTATATGGTCTATGGAGTTGGATAATGGCTTGCTTATCTATGCAAGTTGTTTTCCACGTGAAAACTGTGTTGGAACTTGGAAGTTATATGGCATGTCACCAAAATTAACTCGCTAGGTCGGTTATGTAGTTGAATTGACCGAATAACTTCTATAAAGTATGAATACTTTGCTCCTTGTCTTGTGCTTGTAATGTTTTCATTCAATGCAAATAATAAACTTTTACTTTTGTTTTCAAAAAAATACTTTATAAAGATTTACTTACAAAAGTAGTGCAAAATTGTAAAAAAAAATCCCTAGGATTTGCCCTGATTAAAAAAAAAAAAAAACTTTTTTTAATGCTGAAACCTCGGACTTTGTTAAGCCTATGTTTGGCGGACTAGCTAAAAAGCTAGCCACTAGCTGATAAAAAAAATAATGTTTGGTAAAACTAGCTGAGAAGCTGGCTGAAATATGTAAAATAACATAAAAAGACATGTAGAAGATGAAGTTTTTATATAATAATAAAAAGTATATTTAAGAGAATTTTAAAAAACTCAATAAGCTTCTTGAAACATTAGTTTGAGTCGTTTTTTTAAAACCTAATTCATAAGCTATTTTTTGGTTTGTGTCAATTTTAAATAAACTCTAAAAATATGGGCATTAAAATTAAAACTTGCTAATATAATCTTCTTACTCTTTTGGCAGTTAAATACTTCCAACCCGTTCCCTACTTTTTTTTTTCTTTTTCTGAACTAGTTAGAAGTATTATAAATAACAGAACCAACGCATAGCAAGGGTCTACATCAAGGCACAAAAGAAGTACAAGAATTTACATTTAAAGAAAAGGGAAACAACACCCAATTTGCCCAGTTGCATCCCCTTTTTTACCTTCAATTTAAACTACATAAATACCAAGGAAATTACATTATCTACAACCATTGTTTGGACAGAAAAAATGGTTTTTGACACTGTAGCACAACAAAGTTTGACGAATTTACGCAGTTAGTCACTCAAGTATTTTTTGTGTTCAGTTGGTCCTTAACGTTAGGAAATACCGGCTAATTAAAGGTTTGAGAGAAATTATATCCGGTTTACGGGTGACATGCTGACGTGGCTTGACATACCCATATGGGGTTTTTGGCACTGTAGCACAACAAAATTTGACGAATTTACACATTTAGTCACTCAAGTAACCGGCTGTTCCTGAATCAGGTCATATAATAGTATAATTGATAGGTAAAATTCAACTTCAATGATCTATTAGACACAAAAAATACTTGAGTGACTAAATATGTAAATTCGCCAAACTTTGTTGTGCTACAGTGCCAAAAGGCCAAGAAAAAACTCTATTATCCTTTCTCGCTAGCCATAGACACCACGCTAAGCCATAGCAAACGGCTAAAAATAGTTTCCTTTTTTTTCGAACAATGCCCCGTGCCCCCGTCCTATGCAAAATTGAGAATTACTCCAACATGTGCGAAGGTTTAATGAGAAATACCACACCAACTAAAGATCCACTCCCTTTCCTTGCTTGCAAATGGCCAAATGGGCAAGTGACAAGAACATGATCCACCATGTAGAAAGATCATAAATGATTCTTCACTTTATCTAATGAAAATACTAATATCAACCCACTCAAACTTATAAAAATATAACAACTCCTAATAAGCTCATTCGAAATATCAATCACAGTGTCACATGTAACCAAAGTTATATCAATCACCCATGATGCTCATAAAGAATATTCATGATGTCCCACATATACACCCCGGGCATTATAATTATATTCCTCCTATAAATTCAATAAAAGTTATGGTGATGATACTCACACGTCTGCTCACAAAGAGTATTAATAATATCTCATGTAGATACTTACAAAGAGCATTATGCCAATCTTTCTCTTCCTCCTCTATAGTTTATTTGAAGTAGAAAGATAACACACGTAAACTTGTGATGACCTCTTTAAATTTCTAAAAAGAAGGTTTTACCTTATTGTTTGCTTGCTTGACTAGATTGTTTTCTCACCTTATTGAATTGGTAAACTGAAAAACTAAATCGTAAAGTATTGATTTTTGTAATCATAGTAAATTAAAAAGAATTGAAAATGTAAAAGAGTTCAATTTGAATCAAATTGGAAGACTGATGTGATTGTTTATCATGGTCAATACGGGTCATATCAAGGTTTTTAAAAGATTTTTTGGGTGGCAATAAATCCCCTGCCGCTAAAGTGAATATGGATGGTTGGATGCAAACAATATAAAAGGTTCTTTTTGAGTTAATGAGCTAGAAAGGTAACGAAATTTGGTCTTTATTCACATTAAGGTAACCATGTTTTTTTCGTGTATATTTGATCATTGAACTTGTTTGACATGTTCAAAATTAGGTAATATGACTGGTAATTAGCGGTAACATTACCCTATTAATAACTAACAGGTCAAACAAGTTTATTAGTCAAATGTGTACCAAAAAAACATGGTTACCTAAATATGGACAAAAACCAAAGTTCCTTACTTGTTTTGGTATTATTGGGTTCTTTATTATAAGTGCAAGTAGTCATAAGACCCGTTGATGTGACATAAAATTGGGTTGTCTGGTCTTTGTGTATGAGGAGATGGTTAGGTCTTGGGCAACCCAGTTTAGGTCCAGCTAGTTAAGGGTGGGTTGTATACGCTTAAGGGGCTAGGTTGTATACGCTTAAGGGGCTAGGTTGTATGTGCTTTAAAGACCTAGCAAATACAACCTAACCCATGACTAGCCATGCTTGAACTGGGTTGGACCAAGCCTAACCTAATTGTTCATTGACTGTCGGAGCCTGATCCCAAGGCATAGTCCCTGAGACGGTTCTTGTCCAATATTACCTGAGATGGTTCTTGTCCAATATTACCAGAACGGGTAAGAAACTTTGATTTTTGTCTATATTTAGGTAACTATGTTTTTTTCGTATACATTTGACCAATAAACTTGTTTGACATGTTCATAATAGGGTAATATTATCATAATTACCAGTCACATTACTTTATTTTGAATAGGTCAAACAAGTTCAATGATCAAATATGAACGAAAAAAACATGGTTACCTAAATGTGGACAAAGACCAAAATTCGTTACCTTTCTAGGTCATTAACCCGTTTTTTTTAATAACTTTGATGAAGATAGTAAGACCAGTCAACAACAGAGAATAAGTTATGCTAAGGCTTGAGAGTATGGTTTGACAAACGTCGGGTGTGTGGCATGCCGAGTTTTGGTCCCCGTCTGTAACATCCATAAAATTCAAGCCAATTTAAAACTTTTCCAACCATTAATTATTACAAAATGTTTTCAAAGTAGTTTCATATCAGAGTATCCCATAAATCAAAATCATAAAATGTGAGGAGGTGCACGATCACACCTTCGCCTTCCCGCGATCATCAGAAGTACATGAAACAAAATCAACAACTGTAAGCCCGAAGCTTAGTGAGTTCCCCCAAATACCAACGCCAGCCATAGGCACGTCTGGACTGCCTCGCAGGGCCTTCAGCCTATCCGGACCGCTCGTCAGGCCTTCGGCCTGACTAGTACGCCCTTACTGGGTCTGCAGTCTATCCGGGCCGCCCTGGGTATGTTGACATATTGCACAAAGCAGGACCGCCTCAACCCAACCCCCAATCCAACAATCATGTGCACATAAATATCATACGCTAGCTAGCATGTACAGATAGTTATACAGATCTAACATATCACTAATCATATCATCATCTTATATACCAGGATACCGATCTAAAAGATCACTAACATAGCATCATCCTATAACCAGGATACAGATCTAACAGATCAATAGCATAATCCTATAACCAGGATACAGATCTAACAGATCAATAGCATAATCCTATAACCAGGATACAAATCATAAAGGGCCGACCTTGGTGCCTTAGACCCTGTTGATATAGTGAGAATAACTCACCTCACAAGTAGCTCTAGATGATAATGTCAAACTCCTCAAATACAGCTCCAACCCAAACACCAACAATGAGCATGGAACCAATTCTACAAAACCCAAATTACCAAAATACCCTTGAAGTCAAACTTGGTCAACCCTGATCAAAGTCAACAGTCAACAGTCCTTGTTGACCCAACTCGTCGAGTGCATCTAGCAACTCGTCGAGTTCCTTCAGGACTCAGAGACCGAAAACTCGAGTCAACTCGTCGAGTTTCCATCCAACTCGCCGAGTTCATGCAGTGACCAAAAGATGGGAAAACCCTAACCAACTCGTCGAGTTATAACACTAACTCGTCGAGTTCATGCAGAATCCAAAAAACGGGAAACCCTCATTCAACTCGTCGAGTTGACTATGCAACTAGTCGAGTTCCTTCAGTCCTTTTCTCATTCAGATGCTTTTAAGCGAAACCAAAGCTCCAAACTGCAGATCTAACCTCCTAGGGTATAGTTACCACGTAAAGTTGCTAACTTTACATGCATGTAAGGCTCCAAGAAGCTAAAACACTCAAAACTAGCCTTAGGAAGAGGTTTTGAACATGGAGGAGGGCCAAAGCTTCATAAAGCTCGAGGCTTTATGTCCAAAAGGGCCTAAAGGAGTCCAAATCTGAAACCATGCCCTTGTGACAAGCTCAAATATGAAAGTGACTCCATTTTGCACCAAAATGCCCATATACTAACATAAGAAGAGATCTAAGAAATGGAAAGCCAAGGTAAAGATTTTTTACCTTCAACTGGATGCCAACACGATGTAGATACTTGATCCACAAGCTTCTTCTCATTCCAAGCCTCTAAATCTTGAAGCCTCTTAAAGGAATGCACCAAACACACACTTTTAGCCTCTTACACACTCAAGAATAGGGTTAGATCGATTAGGGTTTGCTTCTGGCCGTCAAAAGGTGGTAAGGAGGCTGGAGGAAGGACTTAAGGTCATTTAAATAGGGTGCAAACCCTAAAAATTAGGGTTTTCATGCACAGCCTCTACTCGTCGAGTAGGGGTCCTCCAACTCGTCGAGTAGATGCCATAAACCACGCGGGCTGACCAGGTTCGACACGACGAGTTGGGGCCTCAAACTCGTCGAGTTCCCTAAAATAAAATGAATATAAAGCTTTAAAATTTATACCTGGGAGTCGGGATGTTACACTGTAACATCCCAACCGTCAGGTATTATTAATATATTTTTCCTTTTAGACTTCACGATTGAAGGTCTACTCGACGAGTTGGCGCTATGACTCGTCGAGTAGCAGCGGGTCAGGACACGCCAATTAATGAGCGACTCGTCGAGTCGGCATGGGACTCGACGAGTAGGAGCTGGCAGTGGAAACCCTAATTTTTAGGGTTTTTGCACCATATATATTGGACCATTAGCGCCTCCCACTGTCCTCTACCACCCTCTACCACCATATATATTGGACCATTAGAGCTTGGAGAGTGTTTTGGAGGGCGTTTTAAGCGAAACTAGACGAAGAAGGGGGTAGATTTCCGGTGGGGCCCTGAGCAGCAGAGGGCGTTTGAGACCCTC